TTTGAAAAAAAATCGATGCAATTAAACGATAAGATAAATAGCAGAGATAAATAATTTTAATCGCTGCCAATAATATAATCCTTCTGAAACGGTGCAAACGGCTTGGAAAAGTTGTATTTTCATTCCGCAGCCTACTGGTCTAGAATAGAACTCGATTCAACTTTCTAACCTCGATAAGTTCGCGTGAAACTCGCCATAAAGGCGAGAATTACGCGAGAATCATAACGAATGCAGCTTCTCGTATTACGTGAACGATAATACATCGATAACGAATGATACGAGAAATTAAAAAAGAAGAATCGATCGATGCATCTTGATGCACAACGTCGCTTCGTGCATTATACCAGGAAATTACGACATCTGCTTCCCGCCTGTACCTGTGCGTTTCTGTTATGTCAGCATTCCACTGTGCGATATCTAACGTTAGTTTCATATTGTTCCAACTACGCGGAAGTAACCACGTGACTTCCTATCCCGCGTTTTCTCATCGCGGCGATGCGCCGGTTTCAAGTGGAATCCTCGCGTTCTTGGATTCGTTCGTATCGAGAAATATGGAGGTGTGTGATTTGTTAGAAGATCGATGCTATTACGAGTCGTGAACAATGGTAGCAATTAAATTAACGAATGGTGTGTGACGTATGAGGAAGAATATAATATAACTTTTTTCTTCTTTTTTTTTTTACATTGGAAAACGAAAAACAGTTATCGTGATAATGATTAAAAAGTGAAAGTGGATTAAAAATCGATCATAACCTTTTTTTTTCTTCATCATAAATGTATTATATAATGAATATGAGAGATATTTATGTATATTTTTGATTTGATTGGTAATGGAATTTTGTTTGCGTCCCTTTTTTTATTTAGATCAAAGAATATAGGATACGATGATATAATTGAAAGGTCATAGTAAATTCATAGAGAATAAAAGGAACGTTGTGAATAACGTAATATAAGAATATTGCTAAGAGCTAAATTTTATCTAGAATTAGATGGACAAAGGGAAGAAAATTTATTCCATTTATTACAACAAAATATCCTGGATATTTATTTTTCTTTTTGATGTCTTACATCACACTTATATACACTTTGATCAACGAAAAAAAAAGTACAAACTTAACTTGTTTAACACATGTTCGTCAAAGGATCCAGCTATTTCGTCTAATTTTTGTTTAATGCAATCATTTCCAAGCGTGAAAACAAATATTTGACACGAAGCATAAGAACACGAAGTTAGCATTAATTCACTTTAAAGATCAAACATGTTCAGTTAAAATTTTCCTACTCTTTCTCCTTTTTTTTTTCAAGTCTATTATAACAAACTTCAAGGATGGTAATCGCAATCACAGGGAGATCATCAATAACACGAAAAAAAAAAAGAATTCCACGTTGCAAAGAAAAACAGGCTAATGAAACTAATCCAAGTTTAAATTATACCCAAACGTCGGAATCAAAGAGGAATAAATATTTCAAACGCATAGGATCGCATAAATCAAGGTGGAACGATTCGATAATAGAGACATTCAACAGTCTTAGAACTTGGCATCAGGAGATATCACCAATTATCCACCTGCTCCCGTAATTAATATACCTGCTCGCCACACGTGATTCATTCATAATGGAGCAAATCAAGAGGTTGTAAGACGTTTCCAACGTAACCGCGACACGGATTCGCGCTGTACCAGTTGATGAAACGAATTGCATACCCGGCGATCTCATTTTTGCGCGGCAAGAAAAGCGGCACAGTTACGACACCATCACGCAGATTACCTTACGACGAATAATCTTCTCTTCTCGAGGGAGAAGAGAATTCTGTTGGCTGGTTGTTGTAGTTGTCGTGTCGGAATATTGACCGTAACTTGGTATTCCCTTTTTTCGATTTTTCTTTCTCTTTTTTTTTCTTCCCCCCTCCCTCTCTCTCACTAATGAAACGCGTTAAGAAACCAAGCAAAATTGTCGTTAAGTAAATGACTCCCGTAAATGTACCTGTTGCGAGGAGGCTTTAAGAAACGCATTGCGAAACGCGGCCATTACGCTGCTTTACTGGCGGCAAACATTGTCACACTGTGGCAGGCTCTCTCTTGCATTAAGGGTTTAAGCGTTTCCACGTTGTTGGGAGAAACGTGTAAAATTTAATATATATAACAACATCGCGCGATAAAAAAAATGACATGATAAATTTGCAATTGAATTTTATTATTATTAGTACGTGATATATTATTGAAATCATTGTTGCTTCGAATTTTTACTAAAATTTTTGTAAATGAGTATTCAATTTGACTCGATATGACATTCTTCGAAATTTTCTTCTTCTGTTGTTTTCTTTTTTTTTTTTTTTTTTTTTTGATCAGGACAATCTTAAATTAATCACAAAGTGATATCCAATATATTTCTCCTCTTTTTTTCCGCGTCATAATTTGATGGAATATCTGTAACCTTGGGTTATTATAGTTATTACATAAGATGAGTGATATAATATAAAAGTATTAAGAAACTACGTAATAGGAGTAACAGTTGCACGGAAAAATGAGGTTTCTGTGGTTTCTAATGCTTCTTGGAAAAGGACAATGAACGAAGGTAGCACTGTAGAGCGTTATACTGGAATCAGTTCTATTAATTATTCCATTTTATTCCGTTATTACGTTACTTCTAATAATTATTTTTTTCACTTTATTATCAATCAACTCGATCATCATCCTCCCGTATTCTTAATTTTCTCTCCTAATTAATTTAACTTTCTACCGTATATCTTATTGCTTATTCGAAATCACATAAAATATAACGCATCTTCGTACGTATTTATTCGATCTAGTCGACGCAAAAGTCGATCGCGTAAATTAGCTCATGCACGATTGTAAATAAACTCTCGCGGCAGAAAGTGGAACATCGGCCACCATTGAATATTCCCAACCAACTTTACGTCCGATTGTTCCCATCCTGCTCGTATAGAACTATCTCGAACCGAACTATTCAATAAATACCTTGCCTTTGCGTGTAATCTTTATACGATCGGCACAGATTTGTGCGTTTTAACGAAACTCAATCGTAGAACAAAATCGTAGGATCATCGATTTCGCTCCTACCATTTCTGGTAAATTCGAAGCGAACATCAACATATCTAAAATGTTCCCGCAAACATACGTATTTGCAATGTTATTTACGACGTTGTATTCGTAATAAACGAAGAACACGTATACGTTATTGTTGCTATAAACACAGAAATCTATATAACATTGCTCGATTCTACTCGGTTCGTGTATTCTTTGGCAGATTAACAATATTTCTTTCCTCGATACAATGATTATTTTTATAACATTTCCATTACGAATCAATGAGTTATAATAAGTTAAAAATCATTCATCAATCATTCTTGTCAATATCCTATTCAAACTGAAATTGTTTTCTATATAAACTATATCTCGAATTAACTCGTTATACCAGATATTATAGAAAAACAAGACTAGTAACAAATTTTTCCAACTCAGCTCGTTCACAATGAACCAGTGAACCAGCAACAGGTATATTCTGAAAGAAAATTCGATCGAATTTCAAAAGAATTTCTAAATTCGCATCCAAGTGATAAACAATCAAATATATCAACGCATGAACTACGCAAGATAAATAAGATCTATGCAAACAAAGGATCCTAAGTTGAAGCTTCGATAGAGGAGAAGATCGTGGAAGACGAAAAGAAAGAGAGAGAGAAAAAAAGAGGAGGAATACCGGTTTACAACTAGGGACAACGAGCACGATCCTCGTGCACGTTGCCGTAATATCGCTTTATCGGATCTACCGTTATGTCGATCCGTTCTGCATCGACGTATATATACGTTTCTCGACGTTCTATGCACGCGGCTCGCATGGCAACACCGGAAACCTTGCATCAGGACCACATGGGACGCCGTCTACGTCATCGATCGATGCCAGTCAACTGGTCGATCCAAACTGGTCAACGATAGAGGTGATCTAACTGTAAATCTAACGCTTTTCGCTCGACGACTCGCGTTCTACCTGATAGATCCAGTATATCGCTCGAAAGACGTAAATAGATAGAGGGGTCGACGAGGTGGAGTTCGAGTTTGGCCCATTCGATACCGTTCGATTGGACAGTGTTGAAACATGGTGTGGTATCAGAGGCTGATTTGCATAACAAATCGTCGCGTCGTTTATTGGAAGTTGGATATTTAAGACACGTCACATCCTTTCACGTTTCGATACCTTTTGACGCGATTTTTGACATTTCGGGAATTGGAGAAACATTGGAGATGATATCCTCTTTTTATTTCGCTCCGAAATGGGAAAAATTGTAACGAAAAATTGTGTGCAAAAGCGACGATTTTTGAAAAGAATAGACGATCATCCGTGCTTGTGACAGATGATCACGTTTTCTTAACAACGTTTTGAAATCGATCAAGTTTCTTGTTTTAACTCGTGTCGAGATATAGGATCTCGATGTTAAAACAATTTTCGATTTACAAGATCTCTGAAGGGATTTACTCTTGGACACGTCATTAGAAAGATCTTTGTGATATGTTTGCATCATCGGGTAGTGCAAAAAGCGATGACAGAACAGCAACAGATCGCGGTCACGAGGAGTCAAAGATTCCACGTGTCGGCGGTATTCGGTGAAATCTAGACCAACGCAAAATTTTTCGACAGCCTGTGACCTTCGAATACGCCTTTCACCGTGCATCTCCATTTTTCCAACGACCCAAAAGTTCATCAAACTTCTCGAAAGCCAAGAAACAACTATTTCAAGCTGCATCCACGAATATTTATCCGTAAATATTTTCCAACCATAAAAAAATATACGCCTGTACCAGGTTTTCGACGAGTAAGATAAAGTTTCGCCTCGGGCGTCGATAAACGTCGTTTAATTTAAAAGTCTTCGTTCGCTTATACGTTTAGCATTCCGATTGGCACGCAACAAAAATTGTCTTCGATCTTGGAACAAATTGCGTATATCATACACGATGGACATATACGATACACGATATACGAACCTGAGAAGAGGGTTTCTGAAGGAACGTCGCGATCCCAGCGCGAACCCTGTTTTTGACACCGCGCACAGTTCCCTTGGCACTGCGTATGGCTTCCTTCTCGAGGATCTTGTAACCGGCGAAACACTCGTCGGTGTCCTTATCGCCTAACACCACACCCCTACTACCACTGTCTTTGTTCCCCTTCAGTTCGTTTATGTGAAACTTGTAGAACCTGTCGTACTCGTACACGTATTTCTTCCCGGTCAAAGGGTTGACGCCTGTGTCCACGTCGCCCGACTCTTGCTCCAACCTCTCCTGCTCCTGCTTCCTCTCCTCGTAAGTGCACTCCTTCACGACCGGGGACGATAGCCTGCCGTTCTGCTCGGTGGCCAGGACCGGACTCCTGATCCTCGGAGTGGAGGAGGCTTTCGACAACGAGGAAGTCCCAGACGGCGAGGGGGACACGCTGGGGGAGGCTCTGGTCGAGCAAGAACTCGAGTCGATCTCCGGGCTCGAGGCGGCCGCGCTCGATTCGTGGCTTCGATTCTCCTCGTGATCGGTGGACAGGTCGAGCCGGTTCAGCGCCAAGATGGTGCCCGTTTCCCTGTACTTCTCACGATCCACCCCGTTCTTCAGGCGGCAATTCTCCGAGCGTTCTGGAAATTCCAAGGATGGCCTGCCAGCCTCGTTCCCGTTAATGCCTCCGTTCGCTATTCTCTCGGTCAACTCGCCACCGTTCAACGAATCGCAGCTGATGTTGCTCTCGTTGTCGTCGCTGTCCACTTCCGCTCCGCTGCTGGTCAAACTGCCGGTACGATTGTGCTGATCGGTGGCCAGGATAACCGTACTGGCGTTCTTCTTCTTGGGAAGAGGCGGCGGCGTTCCGTCCAGATCGCTGCAGGTGCCGCTGTCCAGCGTGTCGCTGGGGGAGCATTGGCCGCTGGACATCACCATCCCGTTCAATTGGCCGGGATACGAGTTGTAATAGAAGCAGGCGGTCGAACGATTGTTGGGCGAGGAGGAGGCGTTCACAGGTTCGACGGACGTTTCGCGGTGAAGCACCATATCTTTCTCGGTGTTGTCGTGCTTCCGATCGTGCAAATTACTATTATCGTGATTGTTGTTGTTGCGTTCAAAGGCGTTCGAGCCGACACTGATCCTCACACAGCCGTCACCGACACCGCCACTTCCACAACGCTGCTCGTTCACCAGATTCGTCGCACTCACGACCACACCACCGTCACGCTTGCTCGAACGTTCGCACGCGATCCCGTTCTCCTTCTCGGCTTCGTGCCCGACCACCGTCTCGTCCAGCGTCAATCGTACGGTCGATATCACCCTTCCGTTCTTCTCACCATCGGGATTGATCTTGATTTTCACCACATGGGCCGCCTGCTGCTGCTGTTGATAATGATTGTTGTAATGGTGTTGCTGTTGCTGCTGTTGCGCGTGGTGCTGCGTCTGAGAGCTCTGCGCCGACTTCACGCCACTCTGCCTACCGTACCCGTTCGCGGCTTGCACTTCCGGGATTCTTCTTCTGCAGGCTGCCGAGGAATCGACGCCAGGAGCGGCCAGACCGACGAATACCGTTGCTCCGGCCCCTGTGCTCAGAGGAGCTGTGGGGGGATTGGAAACAGTCCGGATTGACACAGTCTGTCGGGCAACCTGACTCGGGGGCTGAGTCTTGGCCGGCAGTGTCGGTGGAACGGTCATCGTGGCGACCTCGTCCATATACACATTCGAGGACACTGTCACTACGTCGACGAGATACACCTGGTCATCAACCGAACCGATCCTCTGCTTTCTCCCGTTTCTTTTCGTACGCGCGTCTCTCTTCCCTTCGTTCTTTCTCTCTCTCTCTCT